GGGTGCAACAATCACCTTTCCCCTATCCCTACCCACACTCAACACTCTAGGAAGACTGCTGCCGCCGTCAGTCGCCCTTGCCACATGGATCAGCACCTGCCTTAACCCCGCCTTCACAGACCCCATCTTCATGGCCATGCCGCTTTATCAAAGTGGAACAATACACGTGGCTCGTCATCATGACCTGCACACAAAACCGCAGAAGAGAAGTCATGAACTCAGCCGTGTCCTGCGTCCACTCCGAAACACACATCCCCCACCCCCTCCCCTCTCCCCATGAAACCCCATGAAATCAGCCTTATTCCAACCCCTCCTAGCCCCCTAGCCCCCCAAAAACTTCACGAAAATAGCACTTCACTGCTGTTGCAAAACTTAAACGGGGGAAAAAAAAGCGATTTATTGCCTTTCAGAAACGGAAACAATTGCTTTTCCAAATGTCCATGGAAAAAAAAGTGACGACGACAACGTGACAAGGAGGAGGAAATACAATCGGAGTTCGATTTTCAGAGTTTCATTCAAAAAAAGGAAACAAAGTGACGAGGGCGTGACAAGGAGGAGATGAGATGGAAAAGGAAGACGAGGAGATGAGGAGGATGAGAAGGAGGAGGTGAGGAGGAGGAGAAATGGACGAGGACAACGACGACGACGATATGATAAGGAGGACGAAATACCATCACAGTTCGAACTTAGAAGTTTCCAGTAAAAACAAAGAAAAAAGTGACGAAACTGTGATGAGAAAGATGAGAAGTGGAGGAGGAGAAGGAGAGATGGAGGTGGAGAGATGGAAGAGGAGAGATGGAGGAGGAGGACAAGGAGATATGGAGGAGGAGGAGGACGACGACGACGAGATACCATCACAGTTCGAACTTCGAAGTGTCCATAAAAAGAAATAAAATGACGAGGCCGTGACAAGGAGAAGGAGAGGTGGAGGGGAGATGGAGAGATGGAGGAGGAAAGATGGACGAGGAGGGATGGAGGAGAAGGACGAGGAGACATGGAGGAGGACGACAGCAAGGAAATACCATCATAGTTCGTACTTCAAAGTTTGCATTAAAAAAATAAAAT